TCATTTCTAGAAGTAGATGGTGGGTCAGATGTGGCCCTGGAGTATAGTTTTCAGGTACCTGTTTCAGAAGATGAAGATGGTTCACTACTACCTGCTGTCTTAGCCCATTCAGGCTACTAGAACAAAATACTGCCCAGGCACGGTGGCTCATGCCTGTAATCTCAGCACTTTGAGGGAGCTGAGGCGGGTGGATCACGAGGTCAGGAGTTCAAGACCAGCCTGGCCAAGATGGTAAAACCCCATCTCTACTAAAAATACAAAAAAAAAAAAAAAAAAAAAAAAAATTAGTTGGGCATTGCAGAGTACCTGTAATCCTAGCTACTTGAGAGGCTGAGGGAGAGAATTACTTGACCCCAGGAAGCGGAGGTTGCAATGAGCTGAGATCGTGCCACTGTACTCCAGCCTGGGCGACAAAGCAAGACTCTGTCTCAAAAAAAAAAAAAAAAACACACACACATACTGGGTATTTCTATAAATAGTAAATAAATTTAATTCTCACAGTTCTGGAGGCTGGGAAGTCCAATATCAAGGCACCTATAGAATCAATGTCTGGTGAGGGCCCTTTTCTTGGTTCATAGATGGTATCTTCTTGCTGTGTTGTTACCTGGAAGAAGGGATGAGGCAACCCTCTGGGACCTCTTTTCTAAGAGCGCTAATCCCATTCCATGAGAGCTCTGCCCTCAGGATCTAATCGCCTCCCAGTGGCCCCATCACCTAATGTTATCACATTGGTGATTAGATTTCAACATATGAAATTTGGGGGATGCAAACATTCAGACCATAGCACCTGTATTTCTCTGGTTCTGAGCTCTTGCTTCTGCTGACTTATTTCAGTCTATTGGACATTTTATCATCCCGTGAATCTCTCCCTCTTCTATGGGTTTTAAGTCTAAAAACGGAGCCCAGGCAGCTTGCTTGGTAGCTTATTTACACTGAGATCCACTCAGGCACCTATGCTTAACCATAATATGCAGCCCTTTTTGGTAACTTGCTTGGCATACTCCAAACTTATATAATTCTCAGCTGACTCACCCTTTGCAGTGTGGAAAACAGGTTGTACCACCTCATGCTGAAAGAAGCAGAAATAAAGCGGATGTCTTCTCAGCAAATTCTTGGAGTAGGGGGGAGACAGATTGGGTTCCATATATTACTCTATAAGTAACAGTTGTCAAGCCATATTACCAGTTAGGCTGGTTTGCTACCAAGCTGTCTCCTCTAACTGAAAAAGGATGGGTTACTCTATAACACTCGGAATGCAAGAAATGTCACCTTTTCCCATTTTGCTAAATTATATTAAATATAGCTTGAGCTTTTTATTTTTCAAGATTTAGTGCTTTTTCAGGCCTCCCATTTTCTACCTTGGGCTAAGGACCTCAAGATTTGAGGGGGTACAGGTTGATGGAGGACAGCAGCATCGTTCATCAGTTTCTGTTTACTTGTGTCTGCCACAGCCCATGTTTTTTTTTTTTTTTTTGAGATTGAGTTTCACTCTTGTCTCCCAGGCTGGAGTGCAATGGGGCGATCTCGGCTCACTGCAACCTCTGCCTCCCAAGTTCAAGCAATTCTCCTGCCTCAGCCTCCCAAGTAGCTGAGATTGCAGGCACCTGCCACCATGTGCCCATCTAATTTTTGTATCTTTAGTAGAGACGGGATTTTGCCATGTTGGCCAGGCTGGTCTCAAACTCCTGACCTCAGGTGATCCACCTGCCTCGGCCTCCCAAAGTGCTGGGATTACAGGTGTGAGCCACCATGCCCGGCCCACCGCCCATGTTTTAATGACTTGTTCAAAGGTAGACTGCTCTCAGGCAGTTTCAACTTTTCCAGCCACATGTGCCTTGGAGACCGTCATCGGAGCTCCCTAGGTCACATGACACAACTCTTATTCTTCACAGCAATAAGGGGCTTCATTTAATGGCTCTGACCTGTGTCACTTGTGCACCCTGAACTTCTTTTTCTCCTCAGTTGAAGAGTCAAACCAATTTCCTAGTAACCTGGTTGTTCCCTTACCAAATTTTAAATCAGCAGGCCTCCAAAGCCTTTCTTTTTCAGGTGATCCAGTTTATTTTTATTTCTTTATTTTAAATTTATTTTTAGAGATGGGGTCTTGCTCTGTCACCCAGGCTGGAGTGCAGTAGCAAGATCATACCTTACTGTAACCTCCAACTCCTAGGCTCAAGCAATCCTCCCACCTCAGCCTCCAGAGTAGCTAGGACTTTAAGGGTTCACCACCATGCCCAGGCAATCCAGTCTAATTATTTTGTTAGGCCCAGAATTTTAAAGGCAGAAATTGTTTGCCTCACACAGCGATTTGTTTTGATTTAATTAAACTTCAGTACCTTTAGACTGGACCTGTAATCTCCAGTTTACAGTCCCTACCACTCTCTATTATCTTACTCCAACTAGTTTTCTTTCTTTATTGCCCTTACTGTCTGGTCTTGGAGGGGAGGTGAAAGAATTACTTTATTTTCTTCCTTAAGAGTTTACAGTAGTAAGAAATAATACAATTTGATTTCTCTATAGACTATTTTATTACATAAAATTTTGAACAAATCATTGTGTAATAGAGTCTATTTATTCTGGCCCCGCTGGTTCTCCAGGTGTGGCCCATGAATCAGAAGTCTTAGTATCTCCTGGGAACTTGTTAGACATGCAAGCCCCTGCCTCAAATCTGCTGAAACAGAATCCTGGGTGTGGGCTCCACAATCTGCATTTCAAAACGCCCTCTCGGAGATTCAGGTGCCTGTGCAAGTTGAAGAAGTCCTGTTCTAGAATATCATGCCTCGAGTATAATAATCCATAGAGAAAGATTTGTCATTTAGCACTATCGGTGCTCAGATAAGTCCTTAGTTCTCTGTTCTTTTCTTTCCATACTCTTTGCAGTGCGTATTTTCTCACAATTTTAATTGATGCCCTCTTGTGGCTGTGAGAATTCCCTGTATACCAGATCTGTTATTTCTTTCTGTTTAAAAAAAAATTTTTTTTTAAATTACTGTTTCATTCCAGGAAAACTCAGAAGTAATATTCTGACATTATTGGAAACTACATTTGTCATTTGTTCCCCACACCAATTTATCTTCCCTCTTTCCCTCTTTATCATCAGTGCGGAAAGGTTAGCTGAATGAGTCATTTATTTCAGGTGAAAAAATGTAATGGGGCAATAAAAAATGTCAATAATCGAGACAAATACTATTTTAATGAAACTTTTTTAAAAATTAAGATTAATGCAAGAACATCCACGATGAGCAAAGCCATTTTTTTAATAGAACTAGTAACCTTGCTATACTAAGTCATATTGGGGCTTGAGGCAAAAGGAAAAAAATCAGTAGTATTAATCCTGTCTTTATTTAAAATTTTGGTATTTTTTATCATGAATATTTTTGCATACATTTTAATCTTTAAAATATTGCATTAAAATATTATCTACACTGATTATTATGTTTTTTGGTTCTGACAAGTTTTGTGCCAAAGACAAGTCCCCACCAAATCACTGAAGGTTAGGGCATAAGCTTTTCCTGTGCCTTACATATAAACACAGCTTTTTCAGGAAGGTGCCTCTTACTTTTCTCTGTCTAAGAATGCTCTGCTGATTACAGATGGAGTCAGCAGGCAGGAAAGAAAGTTGATTGTATTCAGTGATTTGAGAGACACTCAACGATCACCTGACCCATTACACTAATTTCCCTCTCCATTAGGTTATAATGGCAAAGTTGATGATTTGGTCCGAGAACAAACAAAACACATTTTGGTTTCAAAGGAAGCACAAGGTAAAATGTTGGGTGTTATAGGTCTCTCTTATATTGGTTCATCAAGTGATTGAGCTCCTGGAGAATAAGTTCCCAGGGAAGAGGCATGCTGAAATATTAATAGAAGGTAGGAGTTAAGGAGAAGACAGGGACCACCACTTGCCCAGAGCTGATGCTTATCTGCATGTCGTCTCTTTAGCAACTGCACACTTAGTGTATACTAAACAGTCTTAGACTTGCTCACAGGCTGCTTTGTAATTAGTCTCCGGATGAATCACATGTGTATATTTATCTTCTCCAATTAAATGGTGATTTTGGTTTCAGAAATCATGTGTCCTCTCTTTTTTGGATTCTATTCTTTGAAGAGGATTTTATTAAGGAGCCATTCCAGAAACATTGTCTAAGTTACATCTGACTTCATTCATTCAGTCTTTTGTTTATTCAGTTCACACACAATACACTTGAGACTAAATAGAATGGAGTAGATATTGAATTAAGTAACTGAGCATTAAAAAGAATTAAAAGCCCAGTTGCCTTCAGTGTTTATTAATTGCTGAGAGCTACGTAGAGATAATTTCTACTCTCTAGGAGCTTCTAAAGCAGCAAATGGATGCCTCCAATACAGATATACGTGAATAGCACATATAAAATCACTCAAAACTTTAAATCTATGTATCAAAGCTAATTGACAGTTAAGTCACATTCTTAAGGCATAGCAATATGTATTTCATATATTTCCAAACCAAATGTTGCATGCCCCTACAGTCAAACTCACGGGTCTTTGAAGATGCAAACATTCTGAGAACAAATTCACCTTTCATACAAAAATTCCAAAACCCAGCCCACAGATGTGCCCTTCATAAATCACCAAATAGTTTCTTTAGTTTTAATACTGTATGAATTAAAATTGTCAAGACTATTTTCCTTTTATAATGGTTGATTCAGTATCTTTTAAAGTCCTCCCAGCTGTCAGATTTCTACAGATTGAACTTCAATAAATAAACTTAGGCTTTTCTTTGTATTTAGAGATTTACAACAGACTTTCAAGCTCTGACATGTTTAGAAAGTTACCTTGGTAGGTTAAGATTTTATTGCTATGGTAACTTAACAAGACAGAGGTCTTAAGAGTAATTTTCTCTATAACTTTCAGAAGAATTTGCCATTTATGACCTGAGAGCACTGTCTTACATAAAAGCTTATATTTTGGGGATTATCTTTCAACAGAACATTTATCTCTCTCCATTTTTTATATTCTAGATGCACTTACAAGGGTCCTGAACAGAGCGAGTATCTTTTGGAACATTTTTGCACTGGTGAAAAGTTGTTCTGCTTTCGTAGGGCTTTGTGCCATGAAGTCAGTGAATATGCCAATCCACTGTGCCTGGTTCAGCAGCAGGTGAGGAGGAAACTCCACTCTGATGACTTATTTGTATTGAGCTGATGAATGGCCATATGAGATGCCGGCAGTTGAGGGAAGAAAGCAATTCCCGTGTCAACAGGCATCTCAGAGATTCACCAAAAAATTCACCTCTATAAACATCTTCCAGTGGATAATGCCCAATTCTAAGTTCAATGGGACTTGGGGACTCACCACTCTGTGGTATAGAGACCTCACTGCAGTTGACCTCCAAACCTGTGAGGCACAGGAGAACAGACAGATGGCGGAAGAACAGGATATTTATTTGTATGTCTCCTGGCTACAGAAGACTCAGCAAAAGTGAACCTGGATGTCCAACACAAGCGAGGGCTCAGAATGGTATTATGCATCCACTTTTCACTACTGTGAATCCCGTGACCAGATGGGAGGAAGGTAGTTTCTGTTGAAATTACTCTCCTAGAGAACATTTGGGTAGATAAGAGGAAGATGCCATGGTCTTCAGAATCATTTTGTACCATAGTAGATATAATAAATCATGAGGCAAGTTAGAGTGGTATGAAGTTAACAGGAACTTTTTATTTTGAAAGTTTTAAAATGATCGCCAAGCATCATCACAGTAGAAACAGGAGAGAAAAACTAATATAGGTATATTAATTTTATAATCTACTACGTAATGTAATAATATATGTGTGTATGCATGTTTGTGGGTGTTTTGCTTGGTTCTCAGCTATTTCTCTGACTGTTGTCTTTTCAGGGGTTGTCTGCTCCCACAGTACCTGCTGAGCATGCGTCAATCCTCTTTCAGTTGAATATAATTCTTAGCCACATTATCTTGTCTAATAGAAGCAAAAAGCAACCAGAAAGATTTCCTGAGGAATTGCTGGCACATGCAAATGGAAACTGCTCATTTTAATTTGGTTGTCATGACGTTTCTTCAGTTACCTCATTGACGGGAATCATCACACTTCCTTACACTGTTTTCAGCCGTATTGTCTGGAAAACACAGACTTGTTTTCTTATTTGGATAGCCTAAGAAAAAACCATGAACAAGTCTGGATGTTATGGTTCTCCCGAGTGTTGCACAGATGCAGAAAATGTCACTTGAAGCTTTAACCTATCAAGAGTATAATTGAATGGCAGTCAAACATTCACTGGGTTTATTTCTTTGCCAAAGAGTCAGTCCTGGCATTGTCTTTGGATGGTATCTTCATTTTGGAAATTGAGAAAAATACACCCACAAATGATAAATGTGGAGGGTACTAAACACATACAGCTAAGAGAAATAAAATATAAATACATTCACGTGAGCCAGGCTTGGTGGCTCATGTCTATAATCCCAGCACTTTGGGAGGCCAAGGTCGGAGGATCACTTGAGGTCAGGAATTCGAGACCAGCCTGGCCAACAGTGAAACTCTGTCTCTACTAAAAGCACAAAAATCAGCTGGGCATGATGGCACATGCCTGTAATCCCAGCTACTCAAGAGGCTGAGGCAGGAGAATCACTTGAACCCAGGAGGTGGAGGTTGCAGTGAGCTGAGATCGCGCCATTGCACTCCAGTCTGCACAAGAGTGAAACGCTGTCTCAGAAAAAAAGAATGTATATTCATATGAAACCTTCTGGAAGGCATGGAGACAAACACAGGTATGTTCTATAAAGTAATCTGTCCTGATTTCTCAAGGTAGAGCCTTAAAAAATGCTATTCCTCATCTTCACTATAGCTGAGATAATTTGATTAGTAATAGCTACAGTTGTGTATCGAAACGTAAAGAAGAAAAAGACTAGTCCAATCTTTGCAATCACTATACAGTAATTTGTCCTTAGGAAGACATTCAGTATATATTCTAGCTCTTGGCGATGATAAATAGAAAATATTTTGGTAGATATTAGACTAATATATGAACCAATTACTGACAATATATGAGAAACAAATTAAAAATATAAAACTTGTTCTTACAGGAAGAGACAAGGCATGGTTTTTAGTAATAAAGAAAGAAAGAATTCGTCCTGATTGATACCTACAAACCCAAATCATCTCGTAAAATTAGCCTGTGGGGTGGTACTAATAGGAAAATAAATGAAATCAATGATTACAGTAATAATTATCTGCTTACCTTCAAATGCATATGAAAAAACTTTAAATTTCTTTTCTCATTAGCTGGTTCCCACCATGCGTGGATAATGAATGGATTTTACCAAACTCATTGCTGAAAAAATGTGGACAAATACAAGCAGAACCTTGGTTCATTTTCACTATGTCCAACCTATAAAAAAATTCAAGACTGGTCTTTCCCAGAAGTGGTGAGGGTACACTGTGTGTGTGAGATCAGATTCACGAAGGCCGTCAGGTGTGCGGCCTTTGTGAATAGGTCTGTTCTGCTAATATTTACCAAGGACCACAAGTTCCTGTAGCTGGAAGATCTAGGAGCTAGTCTATTGTTTGAGCAAACTGAAGCTTTCTTTGGAAAATCTCGGCAATGGGAAGTGCATTTGCGTGTTTATGAATAACAACTGTCATGCATTTTTCTCTCTGAAGAAAATAAGTCTTTAATTTCCTATTGAACTTATTCAGTTGACAGAATTTTTTTTTTATGCAGCAGCTTCATGTATAAAATATGAGGCAGAAACAAACTAACAGTACTGTATGGAAATCTTGTAAAAGGAAGATCTTTTTGGTTAGAGTCATTTACACTGGAAACACAAAAATGATCTTTTTGAAAGCAGTTCTATATGAAGTAGATGGCTAAAATAGTTTTCAAGTTTCATCTCTTTTATAGAGTCCAGATAATGTGGTAGTAAATTGAAACTGGCGTGTGTTGGAAATTTTAGAAATAGGTTTGCAACCCAAATTTGGCAAGAGTTTTTCATAGCATTTCCTCATGTGATATTTTCCAAATATTGGAGGATACTAGAAACTCATCATAGTGATATACAACCTACATTATCTTATTTTCATGCCTTTTAGTAGCTTATGTGCAGCTACCAGGATAAGTAATTCCCTACCCTGTATTGTACTTCAGCAGTACCTTAAAGCACATCTTTGCTCATATGACAATGCCACCTGAGGAAGGCACCTAGTTTATCAGAACATTGTGTCCTCCGTCTGGCATCTGGAGGGTTATGAAACTCCTTTATTTTTACAAATTTCTCTTCATTTGAATTTACTGGCCCCTGCCTGGTTTCTAGATTCCAAAATTACTCTCTCAAAGCTTTGAGACAGAGTCAAGTCAGAAAGCCCACAGTAACACAGCAGGTCCGCTTAGTCTAATACATCTTTCAGAAATTCTGAAATTTACTCACCCTGCTCCTCATTCCCACAGTTGTTATGAGCCTAGCCTGAAATCACATTTGGAGAGTGATCTGAAGAACCTCAAGTAAACCTACATCCCTCGAACTGACCTAAGTTTTCTGAGCAGGTCTTGGCTAGTCACAGTACAAGGACTCTCTGGAAACAAAATAAAACAAAATAAATGCAATACTTTGCCAGCTAGTTAGCTTTCTGGTTGCCGATATGGAATTTTTCATTTCCATGCATTCCTTTTCTCTAACACACTACACTAGTTTGGTATTAGTTCAGTCATAGTATAGCAAAAGATGTATGTGTGTTCTTAGCTTATCTGTATATATTTTTTCTTTCTACCTGAGTCAATTAAGCATTTATTTTTAGTACCTTCTATTGCTAAGTAGTGTGTAAGATGCTACGTGTTACATAAAGAGGCAGAGGAGTCCATTCTTAGTCTCAGGTTTACAATTCAGTTGAAAAGAACAAATTAATGGAAGTCAAAAAAGCAATGTATTGTTAAATCATCAAGTACTGAGCTTAGCATGACAGAAGTTCACGGAATAGTGAAAAGATAAGATAGAGTTGAGCTGGAGAACATTAAATGAATAAAGTAATGCCAGAGCTGTTTATTGAAGGATGGTCTTGATAGAGAGGCAGAAGACTTCCAAAAGGGGACAGCAGCATTGAGAAAATGCCCCCTAATGGCTGAGCTTCAGGCCATTGGAGAATGGGGAGGAGATCTATTTCACTTTTATTTCATATTTATAAATATGAAGACAAGTCATATTTCCCCCAGACATAATTGTTTGTCTTAACCATGTAATTTTCTTCCAATTCAATACATTATTCTAAATATAAAATGGTCATTTGAAAGAGAATCAGTCTTTTCCTCAGTTTTTCTGGAATGTACGTAGAGTTTTTTTTCTTCAAGGCTAGAGACTTGATATATTTAATATACTAAACTTTCTTTTAAATGTTAAGTAGAGTGAGATTTTGAGGATGTAATCTTAACAGTATCCAGTACCTAGTAACTTACGCACCAAGCTTTAAATGCCATGGTGTAAAAAATATATATTTCTTGTTAATTCTGCCAAAATAAACTACCTTTAAAAGTGTATTAAGCTTCTTAAGACTCTAAAGCTACTGGGAGATAGTTACAATATAGTTCAAATCTAGTTTGCCCCACAGGGTCTGTCATGAACACACTATGCCTACATGTCAATGTATTCTAAGTTTGGTAAAGCTATGCCCACCTTCCTATGGCCAGAAACCAGTCTTCTGCAGAGGAGTGGTCCCCAGACAAGCCCAAATGCCTGGTTTCCCAAAGCTTTTTCATGGTTGTACAGTCCCATAAAATGTTGCTAGGGATATGATAGTGTCACAGAGTTTTAGAGTTTGGAGGAGCCATAAAGATTGTCATCCAACTCCCGAAATTACAATGAAGAAAGCACAGCTGCTCCACAGTGCCATCTCTTTTCTGCTTTGCTGTGGATGAACTATCCTGGACTCTCTTCTGGACCTCCTTCTCAACTGTAGACATCCTAATACGTGGATTGCTTCTGAATCCTGCCAAGGTATGGCAGGACTCCTGGAATCTTGGGAGCCTGTTTTGTGCCTAAGGACACACTGAATAGAGCGTAGACCACAGGGTTTCCACATGGTCAACTAGCAAGGGAGCTGTTTAAGGAAATGCATGAATGAAGTGACCCTGGTTGGTGTCAGGACAGGGGAAGACCCTGCTTTAGTCTTGTTCTATGTGAAATTCAGTCCTTTGAGGAAAATTGTAAAAATCTTAATGAATACAGATGTGGGGAAAACTATTATTTAAGAGTCGCAAGTCATGTTCTACATCTAGCTCAAATTTGTGTAGCAAACGGGGAGAAATCCCGTAATGGGCATTATTTTTTGTTATGTAAAAAGTAAGGCAGAAGTTCAACCATAGATCTTAAGAGGAATCTTAAATATAGTGAGATAAATTAGATTCAAATGTTTAAACTAAGAGGTAAAATTCTCTGTTTGTTCATGTAAATTGAGGTATGTTTTAGCAGTTGCTACCTAGGGGCAGGTGTTTCTTTTCTTTGTGTGGAATTAGCCTCTTCTACTGTGTTTATTTTTAAGCGGCCTTGAAGAGTGATTTTTTTTGTTTGAGATTCTCTTCCCCATCCCCTGGAACGTTGGCGCCATTTCAGTGAGAATTTGATGTTTACCTTATCCTGGAGGAGAAAAAAAATGTTGTGGTATGCAACCTATACTGAAAGATTGCTGTCTATTTAAGACTAAATAAGGCAGATTTGGGTAAATATATTAAAGCTGTAGGGCCATATACGGGTGAGGCCATAGGACCAGACTACATCTCTGAAGGTGGAAGTTGTGGTTTCCCCTAAAGTAGTGAGTGATCGATCCACTGCCCACCACTCTGGGAAGAGGTGAATCTTCCCAGAAGGTAAAAACTTGGGATTGTGGGTTATTGGCCGTTAGGTTTGGGGGGAAGTGTGAGGAGTCTTTTCTCCTCTCTCTGAAGCCTCTCTCCTCTCTCTGAAGCATGGAAACGAAATAAAGCAGATGTGCTCAGGGGCACACCTGTTGAAGAGCGGTTACCTGTCCTCTTCCAAACACCAGGCTGGGAGAAAGGGACTCTGAAGAATGTTGTCCTGATCTTGAAGCTGAGGACTCTCTGGTATAACTTGAGAGCACACCCAATGTAGCTTCTAATGTATTCTGCATGTGGATAGTCCCTTCTGTTTTCTATTAATTATTAACAAAGCCTGATTAGAAGGGGGTGTTACCACCTGGTTTCTTCTTTGCTTGAGGGAAAGCGTAGTCTCCCCTCTTAGAGGCCACAGGGCTGGTGACATTGGTAGTCATCAGGAGAGGATAGCTGCGCCTGGTCCAGAGGACACCTGACTGGGGTTCTCAGTACAAGGGCAGCAAAGTGCAGTGTGATGAGCAAATGCATGAACAAGACTGAACAGATGTGTGAGAGCACCATGATTTCCTCCCAGAAAATAGCTGAAAGGTGTTTGGAAGTTGCCTACTTCATTGAAAACCAGTAGACAGGACTCAAGCTATTATTGTGGGAGCTTAACAAGGAAATATAACCTTATTTTATATTTATATATAGCTGATGCTTGAACATTTAATTCTATGTATTTGTGTCATAGGTACCAGAGGCTGTTCCCTTCTGTTTTACTGATGAACGTAATAAATCACCAGGTAGCAGATTATTTCCCAGAGTCTCTTGAAGTTTTTTTTTTTTTTTTTTTTTACATTAAATAAGAATAAGGTGGCTACTGGGCAGTCATTACTAAGGGCAAGAATAAAATGGGAATCTTTTGTGACCTGACCAAGCTAGCTCCTCCTG